CACCTGAGGATCTGAGCTGCTAGACTTGAGACAAGTATCTGATATTTTCAGCCAGAGGAGCGTGCTTTTCATGCGGCAATTGAAGACAACACGCAACAAGCGTCCTAGGGCATTGTTTCATAAATCACGCTTTCCCCTAGTCATTTTGCAGGACTTCCTGATTCGTGATGCCCAAGGTCCCCAGGACCGTTGATCCTTGGTGACAGCCTACACCCCGCAATGTAAGATTCCACATGGCAGCTGGTTGTCGAATTGTCCAGGGCATGTCATTTGTTCCTGCTGCCAAGTTCCAATCAAAGCCGCCGTGCTCGCTTTGAGAGTTCCGGGAATGGTCCTCATAGCAATTGCATGCACGCAGATGCAACACCAATCTCAAGCTTGTAGACTGGCCAAGCTCGTCAACGTCTTTCATGTACGCATCGGGGAGCTCTCGAGCAGCTTAAGGGAGTGCGGGCTCATTCGCAGCCCAATTTTGCCCCCTGGATCTTCGCCATGTCTCAGATGCTCGGAGGTGATTCAAGCAACGTTTGGTTGCTTGTACTTCGCTGAGTTTGACAAGCATAAAAGCCCGTAGACAAACTGCAGCAGGGTGGTGCTGTTTCTTCCCATGCTCCCGAGGACGGGTACTCTGAAGAAGTTCTTTCCGGAGAAGGGCATTGGCTGCTCGAATTGCAAGCAATCCTAAACCCTAGTCCGTACTTCATTATTTCTATTGTTTTCTATTCTTACTATCAGTATCGCCACTATCAGTACTTGTACTGTTGTTAGTATTGTTTTGCGATTACCAGGGCAGGTACAGACACAAATGGCCAGCCTGAGGCTACATATCTCCTGACGACGGCAGCGAAGATGTCTTCATCCATTTCCAGGCTGTCACCAATGGCGGTAGCTTGTCCTGAATTGGGCTTGGGGGAAGCTTGTCACGTTCAAGTCCTCCACTTGTTCTGAAGTGTAGGACAACCTTGTCACAGCTAAAGTCCTGTTCAACGCCCTCTGCGACTGAAATACTGAGGCGAGAATGACATGATCCCAGGGGCCAGGATGAGCTACGATCTGGAGATCAATGACCGGAATGGAAAGACAAAGGCTCCAAAAACCTTGGCTGTGCCTAGTCCTCAGCCCAGAAGTCGCCAGGCGGTTCGAGTGACCATCGACTCTCCGGGTGACCCCAGCTCCCAGTACAAAGGCGGCGGTGGAGGTAAAGGCAAGGGAGCAGCTCTAGACAGTGCATGTGAACATGTGAAGTCAAGCAGGCGTAGCTTGTGACGTAGCCTGTGAAGTTGCAGGAGGCTATGGAAAATCTTACGGAGGCTACGGCAAGGCTCCTACCGGAGGCACCTTCTGGCAGGTCATGCCTGAACATATCTCTCTGTGTATACTTGGTCAGGCAAGGGTCATGGGTCTGGCCCCTATGACGGGGGCAAAGGCGGCAGGGTGCCTAGTCAGCCCGATGGCTTCCTGATTGGTTCACGAATGCGCAATTTCTCGAAAGGAGGTGCCGCCGGCTACGACATGAATGCGCTTTGGGCCGCTCTGTACGCACAGGCAGGGCCGAGACTTTATAGAATGACAGCAGCATGTAAATGCTTAAATGCTTACGCAACTGCCCTGCATCAGGCAGCAGCGCTGGGGGGAGGACACTGCACACGCTTGCTGCCCACATAGCATGATGCAGTCCATGGCCCAAAGTCATACCTGAGCTGACAAGGAGGAATGGGAGGGGGGGCAACTGAGCCTCTTGGCAGTCTCTTGTGGTTTCAGGTGCCAAGCAGGCATGAGGCTTCATGACGTGGCAATTTGGCAAAGACTTGGACTTGGCTCAGGCAATCGTATGGTGGCAGCTCCACTACAACGCAGTGGTATTGAGTCTGAGCTTTTGGGAGAAAGCAGCTGCCACATTGGAATCAGCGAACTCTGTTGCTGTCACAATGTTGCCGTGACATGCCAGTGCTGAAGCCCTGGAGCGGCCAGCATGTATAGTGGTGCTGCTTAGCTGAATGGATGTTCATGCGAGAGGTGGCGTGTGCAAAACTGCGATCTCGAGCTCAAACCCTGGAAGACGGCACATTTTATATGGCTCCTTATGCCTTGACTGTTGCATATTATGCAAACTTTTGGTGTCCACAGCAATCTAGTATTGAGAGTTGCAGGACATTCGAGTCCCCTTGTCCGCAATGTGGCCCACCTGGCGTGGGCGCGTGGTCGGCGGCCGATTGCTTACGCTAATTTGGCAGTGCCCATGGATCGTTGAATCATTGTTGCTGGACTCCGCCCTCAGACTTGTGAATGCAGTTGGGCTTGCAAACTGTCGTGTCGATCGTACTGCCCCTCTTTGGCAGTTGCATTGGCTCAAAGAGGGCAAGACCAGAGGTCCAGGCTTCCAGCATGGCCATGGTGGACTTCTGCCCGCCGAAGGCCATGGAGGCCAGCAAAAGTCAGAAGACTGTGCGGTAGCCACCAGATCACCAGATCCTGTAAGTTTGACCAGGTGCCGAGCGCTATGCCCAGCGAGTTCAACTGTGCGGCTTGCTGTGAGGCCAGGTTCTGAGCAGGAAGGAGGCAAGCTTCCGCGAGCATGCCCCTGCATGCTTGAAGGCCTTTAGCAGCGCAGCGGACCTGCGGGCGCACTGCAAGTCCGAGAGACATGTGCAGCTTGGCTTTTTGCCAAGGGCTTTGAGTTTGTGCGCCATCGCCAAACTTCAGGCTGACAGTGTTAGGTCCAGGACTAAAGCCGTGTGACACCATAGATTGGACTTCCGGCCATTCCTGACTTGATGTTATCTGTGAGTTGCGCATCTGCTGTTTCTACTTGGAATTCGCATTTGCATCCCAATCTGAGACGAGGTATAACATGAAACGGAAGCTGTCGAGCTTGAAGCCGATCTCTCAAGCATCCGGGACGCAAGGAGCAGGCTCTCCAATGGCTTCGAAGTGTCATATGTGAAGCCCCAGCAAGTGGCAAGAAGGATGCACCAAAGCAACGCTGTTGCTAGCAGGTTTGCAACCCTTTTGCTGACGTAACACGGGTTGGTGATCTTAAAGTTTGGGCACCCCTTCCTGTGTGGCCGGGTCTTTGCTGACCCGTCCCAGGAAGCCTGGGAGCGAAAGCTTCGGGAGCGCGAAGGTGGCGAGAGCACCAAGGGCACAGCACATCTGAAAGCCGGAAAGGCAGGGAGACCTTGTCGACTTGGAGCTGCTTCAGAGGACTCCATTTTTTTGTCCAACCAGTCTCAGGCGCACCGCAAACCGGCGGAAGCGCCTGTTGGAGGTTGGCCTATGTCTGCAAGTTGTTGGCCAGATTCAAGCGATTGTCAGGCTACCCGGCCGATGCTAATCCCTCCGTTGCCAAGGAAGAAGAGGAGGCGGCATTTTCAGCTGAGAGCATTAATCGCAGAGTGAACTTGCCCTCTATGCAGCGATGCAGGTACCTGCTGCATTCTCTCCACGGCAAAGTCTATTTGACCGACGGCACTTCACCACGGTCGACAAGAACTTGGCTTACATGCAGCGCAGCTGAACAGATCTCTTTGCGGAGCGTTACCAAGTTGAGACCAGGGATCCCCCATGTGGATCCCAGAAAGCTGCAGCTAAGGTGGAAGACTTACAGCTTCTTCATTCCTGACAGGGAGTATTGCACAAACGTAGAGGGCCTGCTAGAGCACTTATGGTTGAAGTGCTGGGCTCGGACTACCTGAAGTGCCAAAGCAGCATGTCCCAGCTCCGGCATCTCAATCTGGATCCTGTGCAGGTGCACCGTAGACTGCTGCTGCCTTTTCTGCAACCGCAGATTCCCAGACGCCGCCAGCTGTCGACGACATATGCTGGACCCAGCCTGTTGCGACTGCAGATTAGATTGACTTCACACCAGGGCATGGCAGGTACAATTGTTTCTGAGCCTGCATTTGGCAGGACAAGGGACACACGCGGATCGGTACGGAAGCGCGAACCCGGCGAGGGAACCGTGACGAGCTTGGTTCACAGGACAGTTGAGTGTCATGGTGTGCATGAAAGCAACAGCCGCGCCCGTGTATTTGGGGCCAGATGACTGATGGGTTTGTCGATCCTATTTGTGTTTTCTTGTCTTCATCACGACCTGCGCACAATCCATACATACGCCCATAGGAAGATGTCCTCATCTTCATCGGACCAACAAAGACTGAAATCTAAACCACTGCCTTCAAAACTTTTTGGAAACAACCATTCTGAATATGAAAGCCATGCTCCGCATGCCAGGGTACAAGCCCGCACCAAGCCAGTACACTGCTGCAGACCCAGAACCCTATGGCACACAACTCTAACTTCTTGGCTGGATGGGTGGCAAGGCCTGGGTTCATAGGCCTACCATATAATTCTTCTTTCCAGCCAAGTCGGCGAGATGCTCGGGTTGGAGCCGCAGGCTTTTCCATTTTTAGTTTACGGTGGAAACGAGAAGAGACCGTTGCGCGCCAGAAATTCACGACGAACTGTCAGATGAGCATCAAGGCAGGTAAGGCAAACAAGCATCCTTGACGCTGACTTTTTCTTGTCGAGGGCCCGGAAGGCCATGGGAAACCCAGGCAGTGCGAGTTAGTGAAGTGACGCCAGGAGCTGGAGGCGGAACTCGAGCAGTTCTACGACTTCACTGGCTCCACCCGACGCTTTGCTGAGTCAAATCTTATAATGGCCTGTCATGTTAGCAATGTCTTGTAGTACTTCGTTCCACTCCAACGAGGTTAATGGCTCAGTCTTGTTGCATGTACGCACTGAGAGGTGAGATCACGGAGCGCATCACAGACCCAGAGCAGCGAGTTGCGTGTGGTTCTCAGGGTGTATTCAGCTGCTGGATCTGTGAGGTCCGCATGAGGAAAAGCTGTGCTGATATCACCCTTCGGTTTGCTGCGCAGAGTTCTTTTGATATCCCAGTGCTAGCCAAAGCATCCTGCTAGCAATATTTCTGCAGGTCTGTTTTCCGGTTTTTCGACGAAGATAGGGATGGCTTCCTCAACCTCGAGGACACTGCGCCGGTTGTGTCTGCATCGCGGCGAAAGAATGACGTGCGTGTCAGGAGCTGTCAGAGTTGTGGAAAGCCACTTCCACAGACACTGAACGCAGTGAACTGTCAGCCGCCATGTACAAGGGCGCCTGCCAGCAGGCGGGGCCTTAATGAATTAATCTTCGGGTTGATGTTCATGGCTTCTGCCACGGCCAGGTAGATGCAGATCCAAGGCATGGCCTCACTGTGGAGGCCCTGCTGCAGCTTCTGAAAGATGCGGGGTGCAGATGCCTACTGGGAGGCTCTGGGGCAGCTCTATGCCGAAGGCTTTGCTGACCTCGAGCGGCACTTTTCCGTTCTGGAGGTACCCAGCATTTGCCTCAGTGCTCTTTCGCACATTTGCATCCACCCTGTTAGGACCTGCTGTCAAAGAAGCTGGCTTCCCGAAAGGCGGTGCTCCAAGCAAAGAGGATCAAGCAAGCGGGTGGAAAGGAGCCGTGCCGGCCAGCGTGCAAATCTGCTCAAATCTCTTCCTGTCATTCAAGGAACGCGTGACATGCTGAAACCAACGAAGCAATGCAATATTACATGTCCTTGGGCTACTGCGGAATTCATTTGTGACTGATGAGTGTAGGTGCAAGTTGATTGGCACCACCGGGATGTGACCCTGCCTGCTAGACTGCTAGACCTTCCGACATTTCAGCCGAAGTCAAACTGAAACCAGGTAGTGGTGTGCGCCCTATCATACCTTTGACCAAGACCCTCAAGAGAGAAAAGTGGTTGACTGAAGAACAGACATGATGGCAATGACACCAAGCCGCACTAATCTACATCAAGCCTCATGGTGAGTCCAAGAGGCCTGTAGTGAAAATCTTCGTCTGGGAATGGATGCCGCTGTTGTCAGTCCCTCTTGTTACGGTACAACGCCGGCCTTCAAGAGAATTGGACAGGCTCAGCTGATCGAGTCGGATGCAGGGCAGGCGCAGGTAAGGTCAAGTTGTCCAGTGAGGTGAAGAATGAATGAGAAAAGGAGGAGGAGTAGGAGCACAGGAGGACGAGAGGCAGGCAGGTCAAGGAAAATTGGCCAGGAAAGGAGGAAGAAGTGCCCCGCGAAGGAAACAAAGGCTAGAGGGGGAAGGTGCTCGTCGACGTGGGGAGCTTTCATCTTGGTGCCGCCTTCTCACTCCGTGGGCCCAGAGGAAACCTAGTGGTACTTGTTGTTACCTAGATACATGCACACTCGGTACCGAAGGGAGTTTGAGACCAGGCAGAGCAGGTCGTGAGGGTGGGGGAGCGGGGAGAGGTCGCAGAAGGGATGAGTTGGGAGAAAGGGAGGCTGGGAAGACTGCATCCAAACAAACGTGTCCCAAATAGCTCATTATAAGGGGAGCGCTGGCAGGGAAAGCATGTCCACATGCATGCACCAGCCAAAAAACACAAATAGGAAGGGCGAGCGAGACCTTAAAGAGGCCGCTTAAACCCAAAAGCAGAGAGAAACTGAAAAGAAACGTCAAAAAACGATACAAAGCCACAGAGCGAAACTGGGGGAAGGGGGGTGACCGAATGGCTTAAGAACCAGCGCGAAAGGTGGCAGGTAAGAAGCCGACAAACAAGTGGAAGAGCAGGAGAAGGACAAGCGCCCAGGGCATACGCAAATGGTGGCCAGCAACAAGGTTCGTGGCTGACCAGGAGAAGGACAAGGGACAAGGGCCAGCCTAGTACGCTGCGACTTCCAAGCAGGGGTTAGCCTTGTACAGACACTGTTACGCGTATCTACCCACTTGGAAGTGTAATCCTAGTGGGCCGAACAGGCGCGACTGGTGGCAAGTGAAGGCCAGCAACAGAAGACCAGCAACAATGCAGGGAGAAGAGCAGGACAAGGACAACTGCAAGCCCAGTGGGCCCGATGGGCGGGAATGGTGGCACGTAAGCAAGCCACAACAAAGCTGGGAAGGGAGAGCGTTTGCCCAGTGGAGCAGGAAAGGAGGAAAAGCAGGAAACACACAAGAAGGCATACGGCGCGGGTTCACAATGAGAGTAGTAGAGCAGGAAGGCCACAAAAACTTTGGCCCAACGGTGCACAAAGGCTCACCTCGAAGCCAGCACACGGCAAACGCGCAGCCATAGACAAGAGCAGAAACGCAGGAAAGCGGCAGGGCCAATGGCAGACCGGCGTGACCCGAAGCCAGAACAAGCCCCACAGCGCCAGTCATGCCGAAAATGAGTTGAAGTGAAAGAGTTAGCCCAAACGGCTTGGCAGGGAGATCTGGCGATAGAGCGAGCATGCGTGCCAGACACAAGCATCACCCAAATCTCCCAGCAGTACAAGCGCGGGCCAGCGGGTGGCGGCGAAGAGACATGAGGGTGGCTATAAGGCTTTCTGAGCCGCCCTGAGATGTGGATGTGGGTGAAGAACGTGGTTTGGCGCTGGTCTCTGAGGCATGGGGAGCAAGTGTAGAAGCGGAGACAGGACCATGTGAGCCAAGAGCGCAGCAAAGGTATCAGAAAATGGCATTGGGGGGTGTAGATTTTTGGGAGGTTTAGCCAGGGGATGATCTTCAGCCCGAAGTTGTGGCAAGGAAGATAGGAAAAGCGGTGGGTTTCCTGCGGTGACCTTGTGGTGGGGACATAGCTCCTTTCTGGGTAACGCTTCAGAGATACCATGTACAAACAGGGTTCCGAGCTTAGGGTCGCACTTCGTTGACTGCTGTAGCGCTCAGAAGCAGAAGAAGCAGGTTGATTCAAGTGAGTTGAAGGTGTAAGCAAATGAGATGGGAAAGGGCTTGGTGTTTCAAGCATGTGATGTTGCTGGAAATCCTGCACCGTGAGGAGATTGAGGAGGAGGATGAGGATGAGCAGGCCGAAATCTTCCACGACATCGTCAGTTTTGCAGCTGCAGTGCAATTGCTGAAGCCAGTTTGACACTGACAGGACTCCGAGGAAGAGGATGACGATGAAGATGATGATGGTGATAGTTCAGGAACTGAAATCGCTGCCTGTCCGAGAATTCTTCAGCATCTTGATAGTGTCTGGACATTTTGTGGTTGCTCCGCATCTCAATCTCTTACTGAAAAGGTTGAATGCGACGACGAGGCCGAATTCGAGGAGGCCAGCTTAGTGGCGACATTGTGATTTCATTTTGTTGAACATACTTCAGACTTCAGACCTTCTCTTGCAAGGTCATGCGAATACTGGGCTTGCAGCAAGCCACCGTTCTCGACAACGGTGACCTGAGGCCAGGAACGTGTGCAACGTCTGGGCAGGCCGAAGCTTTGCCTCTGGACGCATTGCAAGCACACGCCGCAGGTTGCCCAGTGGCATGGTAGCAGCCAATAGGGACGTTGCTCATATTTGGCGGCAGAGAGGCAAGAGACCTTGAAAGATTCAGCGGGGACCAGATAGCTGCACCTTCGCACAGGCACCCGAAATGGCCAGCTTGTCGCAGCCAACGGAGGCCATCAGATGGGATGTCTCGCGCTTTGCATGATCCAACACTTGTACTTGCAGGCCGGCTTGGTGGCAAGAGCGTGAGGGCCCATCTTATGCTTGCAAATGATGCCGCTGGCAAGGCCTGAACGATTAAGCTAGCAGTGTGGGATGACTTTGTGCGGGCATGCTTCGTGTATGGTTCGGTAGGTCGAGCTGACCCGGAGGCTGTTGGAACGTCAGTGTGCTCATGGTATCAAGCAATTTCAAGCATCGGAGCATGTGCAGATGTGCAGAGGCAGCAGCAGAGGGAAGGCAAACGTGTTATCGCCATCTTGCGGGAGCAGCAGAAGCAGCACATGAGACTCGGTGCTCCGGTTGCAGTCACGTTTTGCCACGTTTTGCCTCTGCCGCCGCGTTTGAAGACAATGGATGAGGGAGACGCCTGCCCTTGGCCAAGGCATGCAGATGAACGCTGTCCTGCACGGGGCCCCGAAGAAGTTCCGGACGCTAATGGGCGATGCCTCTGGCGCCCGATGAGCGGAGTATGTGAGGCTCGCTGATCACAGCGAGCCTCTGAGTCAATGTACCCAGTGGTTCCAGTGCCGAAACACTGCACCACTGTTTGCTTAAGCTAACTTGGTCCGAGCCGGGCACTGCTGAGCGTGGGTCTGGCAAGTGATCAACTACGCAGAGTCTAGCCTTCAAGGGCAGGCTTTCAAATGCCATGGCATGTCTTAAGCCAGCACGCCCAGAGCAGTCCGATCAGCCTCTGGCCTTGCTCACAAGGTCAAGCTCTTTCCGGTGAAGTGCACCTGTTAGTCATGTCGTGCTACGTGCTTCGAGTATCCAGCTAGAGCCGGAAAGAGGTGAGCTCGTGGTGTTCATAGCCGGACGTGGCCTTGACCTGCGTACCAACTTCGTCGGGTGGATACTCTCCTTCAAGCTTCTTCTAGGCAGTGGTTAGCGGGGTTGTACCTCAAGTCGAGCCCGGGTCATGTTTCACCGAGCCAGCGTAGTGCAACCGAGAGGCAGCTTCTGGTCCAGCCGAGTCTTAGCTGGCAAGCGACGTAGCCTGCTTCGAAGATCTTAGGAACAAGGTATGGGGTGTGCAAGCGGATCGGACTCAGCTGGGGAGCTCCTCGATTTAACGTCTGCGGATGCGAAGGATGATTTGCCAGGCTTGTGTACAGGCACTTGGCCGTGTCAAGAAAAGGGTTTCAGCAAGTCCAGAGCTTTGATTTGATTTCCATATTCTTGGGATGTCTCTCTGAGGTTGTGGATTGAGTGGCCGTGATCTCGAGGACATACAGGCCTTCCGCGTCATATTCATGTTTGGTGGCGGACAGCAATTGGGAGGATGGGAAGCTTTCAGGGTGTGCTTCCAAACTGGTCAAGACTTTCCTTCCAAAAGTGCCCAACAGCTCGGCGAGTTCATGATTTTGTCAGATGTTAGCTCCCGTGAAAGAGCGTGTCCGCTCTTGAATCCCCGGAGCTGGTGCTGGCACAGGGAAGTTCTGAAACAGTGCTTCAGGGATCATGCGAAAGCCCCATCCCCGAGAAGGAAGCCCTGAGCACATGCCAGGGCTTCGGCTTCATGCTCTCATTTCTGGCCGCAGATGGTTCCAGCAACTCTGCTTTCCAGGCAAAGGGCTGGTTCGGGAGCACTTCTGTAGGTTGGGTAGGAACATGGACTCAAGACGAGCCTTGAAGCCTTTGAGACCAGCTCTGTACGCATGTGATTGCATGACTGAACTTCTCTCGCAGCAGGAGGGGCCGTTTGAGCTTCACATCCTCTCCATCAGCACTTACTGAGCCAGAGGGCGGGTGGGATCACGATCCGCCTCGGTGAAAGTTTTCTGGAGGTCCTCAGGGTTGACCAAAGGCGCCAGAGCGCCATCCTTGGGGACCAATGTTTTCGCTTTTCTGGAGCCCACTTGTACCTGATCATACCTTTGCGGCCGTGGCAGATGAGGCTGCCATGTACAGTTGTTAACAAGCCTCGCCAGCCACTGGCAGTTGGACTTGCCAAAAGCCCCTCGACAGCCTGTGCAGCAGTCAGAAACCAACACACTCCGACCGTCAAACTGTTTGAGGCCAGACCGCTTACAGTTCTGCGTGAAGGACTAGTTCCAGGCTGGCCAGCTGCTAAATGCTTGCGTCCAAGGTTTCTGACTTCCAAACCACCTATGCATTTGTTTTTGTGCTGCGCAACGTTGAGAATTAAATGGGAGCACCTTGCAAGCCGTAGCCTGGCAAGCTTTGCCCGCGGCCATGTGGGGATTGGTCGGCGACTCCTCCCTCTACTGCAAAGACGATAGGAAAAAGAGGAACATAAAAGGAAGGATTTGACTCTCTGCCTGAGCGGGCTAGAGAGCCCACCGTGGTGGCGCTGCCTAACAAGGGCTTGCGCCACATGGTTAAAACCATCCGGGAGGGTCCGAAGTATGAGGTGCCATGCAACCACTGGCATCAGCTACAGACAGACCTAGGGGTGCAGTGGCGGATCATCAACGGTCGCGAAGGACCTCGATTATGCCACTGGTCACGCTGCAGAAGATGCTTTGTCACTGTCTTGGAAACTGGGCTGAGAAGGACTGTCACGGCGCGGTCTGGGGGTCAGTGACAGGATGGTGCAGTCTTATCCCTGTCCCCCCTGAACGCAGGGCATCAGGATGCGGCTGACCAGCCGGTTCCGGACACTGCCAATCAGAGCTCGAGTGTGCAAAACGAGAGCACAACTTCATAGGAGTTCCTACAAGTTGCATGTCGGGAAGCACATGCCTGTGCATAGTGACATGGAACTGGGGACTGCTCCGCAGGCGTGAGGCTCAGCGGAGTGCCCCATAAGTCCTTGTATTTTTTTCTCCCGCCCTCCACACCCTGAGCTGTTCCAAACGGATAGCTGGGGCTGCGTGGCCCAACGTTCAGAGGGGTGCAGTCTTGTCCCTACCCCCGGACGCAGGGCATCAGGATGCGGCTGACCAGCCGGTTCCGGAGAGAGCACAACCCCACCGGAGTTCCTAGAAGTTGCATGTCACCCACCCATGGGACTTCCCCACCAGGCCGCGATGCTCGTGAGGGAGCTCTGCTGGTTGGTCCAAAGCCTGGAAGCTTTGAAAGTCGTTTCCAGCAAATGACAACGTCTGATGCAGCTTGTTGTGCTTCTCGCGAGAACATCTTCCGAATCCCGCCGTTTGTGACTCAAGACTGCGGCAGGACCTCAAAGGCCTGCTTTGCGGTGTGCAAAGCCAAAGGAGCGCCTGAGGGGCTGCTGGTCTGGTTGCACGGAGATCGAGAGGCAAAGCAACAAGACATGCAGAGCAGGCCACAAACAGGAAAGCGCGGCCTGCGTTGCCGGAAAACCTATTTGCTTACCTTCGCATCCTGACGCCATGGAGTTCTCCAACTTGTCGGTTGCCCTGCAGCTAGGCTCATACAAGCTTCAGTCCAGAGTCTTCAGGACGTTTCAGGATTCATGTTGTCTTCTGATCTTCGATAGTTAGGCGCAGAGTTGGATATGTCAAAAAGACGATTGGGCTACGGAACAGACAGAGGTAATGCTTCTGTTCCAGCAAGGCCCGACAACTTCGTGGGCATGGCAAAGGCAACTGCATCGGCACGGCTGGAAGGCAATGATCGGTGCTACTTGGTGAATGAAGTATCGTCTTCATGTGTTTCTGAGGCTACCATTCTAGCGGCACGTAGTGTGTACAACGTAGTGTGTACAGTGTGCTGACATTTTCTGTTTCTTAGCTCTCCAAGCTGCCTCCCGTCAAAGGTGAAGTTGTTCAGGAAGAGCTGAAACGGATATTTCATGCCGCCCCGGCGCGAAGGTCCAAGGCCTGCTGTCCACAACTTCTAATTCTGCCTCCCAGCCATGTTGTGGTGGTTTTGCTGTTGCCACCTTCGACTGTTTATGTTTGCAGGGCCAACTTAGTACCCGTGCAACCATCCAGCAGCCCTGAGTCTGAAACCCACACCACGCAAGTAAGAGCCAGAAATCTTTGAGCCCGAACGTAGCTTGCTTCAGATGATTGCAGAAGACTGCAGGTCAATGCAGGGCCGCGTTGCCAGTTTGCAGAGGCCTCGGAGTTATTAGATGCGAAGCCGGCCCGACCGCCTCGCCCACCGCCCTTGGTCGATGTGGCAGAGCCGACTAGGCAAGGTGCCTGTGAGGGCTTCTAGGGTAAATTGGTTACTTGTAATGGCGCTAAATGCACGGTATTACGCGATATTCAAACAATGACGTACAACTGTGAGATCTTATGCCCGGTGACTGTACTTAAGCAGGCTGGGCCGGGCCAAATCAATGCTTCAGAGTTTTGTGCAATTTCTGTTTGGAGGCTGCGCAGGTACAAAAGGGACGCCACTGGCACTAGATGATGTTCAGATTGTTCAGGATGGGTGCCCAAGTTTCCGGGAGAGGGATGATCATTTTCTAGATGATGCCAGGTTAGTTCAGTTCAGCATGCATGCGGATGATCATACGCGGACTTCAGCGCTGTTGGTGTCTTCAAAGTGTTCAGGGTCTGCACTGCAAGCGCCATCCTCATTGTTTTCTAACCCCTCCAGAAGAGTCGCTACACCATGTGTTGCTGCAGCAGTAATTAGTTATTTACGTAGCGAAGATCGCTGCAAGTGCTAGTGTGGTCGGATATGCAACGCCTGGCCCTCCACTGTTCCTATAGCTGCAATCCAGTTTGGTAGCATGTTTAGATTCGGCGTGTGAGTAATGCCGTGTACACAGGCCCCTCATTTAGCAGGTGAGGCGAACAGGCATTCAGGCACTTCCGCCGCCTTGTTGTGTTTGTGGGGTGTTTAAAAATGGTCTGGCAATCGGTCAGGAAAGTCCAGTCAGAAAAGTTCCAGCTGCTTGGACAAGCATGGCAATTTTGGGAACTGTGCTGTTAAATGAACTCAGCATATGCTGAAAGAGCTACAGCCAAGGCTGTCAAAACCGCCTCCCGTGGGCGCGACGTTGATCCTCACGCCAGAGGCTCCACTTTCGTTTTGTTCCAGCTGCTGGGACCTGCGTGTCCGCAACTAGAAAGCCTCCTGCTGAGCAGGAGCAGCGAAGAGCGACGCTAGAGTGCCAGCGGCGTCGCTGCCAGACAAAGCTTCCTGTCAGTGACTGAGGATGTTGGAATGTCGATGCTCGTTTATAGACCGAGGACCTGGAGCCAGGAGGAGGAGAACCGCGTCCCGTCGACAAGTAAAGTATAGAGAGAGGTGTACAAGACTGCGAGCTTTGGTACTCATGGCTAGGCAACAGTCCAGCCTTGGCCACGTCTTGCGGCGGGAAACTTGCAGTACCGTAGGTGAGCTTCGCCGACAGCATCGCAAGCTGGCACCTGATGAGGCAGTGTTCTCCTGCATGCTCGGTGGATCTGTCCCTCAATATTCCGAAATGGTGTGTTGTCGTGCTTGCACCTGTTCTCTAGCCTGGCCTCCACTACCTTCTTCACAACAACAGCCGCTTGGCATGACATTTAACATTGCCTAGCTTTACGGCAAGTGACTCTTTGCCGACACTGGCG